ATGTTTAATTGGGTCAGTGGAACTCTGATAGGTAGGTTTTGCCATGTCCATGGTGAAAATACTCCCACTACGGACAATTTCAAACTACCAACATGAGATACCAGAACACAGAGTTGGAAAAGAAATGTGCACATCTGGCTCTTGCTTAACTGATAAGAGGCAATAAGCAGGAGCCGGACCCAGAACACCACTGATTCCAGTCAATGGCAGGTGGTGTCCTCTGGTCCCGATTTAAAGGAAAGGAGGATGGCCTCCCCTTGCCCTTTATCTCTTCCTTCCAGCTGAAATGCATTAGGGTCATGAGCCACCGTGGACCACGTAGGCAAGGGAGAATACTTGTAATGGCAAACAGGAGAGGGAACTTGAGTCCCTAACACCATGGAGCTACTATACCAGCCACAGACTGCTTTTGGCTGCATTGTTGAGAGAGAAATACACTTCTATTTTTAAAGTCACTGGTATTTTGGGTCTCTGTTAGAACAACCACATCTATACCCAATTAATACAAACATTTTGACAACCCTGAAGAAGAGAAGTCGATGCATAACCCATGGACACAGACAATAGGGTGGTGAAGGCCTGGGGTGGGGGCGGTCTAGAAGGGGTCAATGGGAGGAAAAGGGGGACATATATAATACTTTCAACAATGAAGACTTTTTTAAAAAAAGAGAGAAATTAAGCTCAAGATAGGGAAAGTACTCTTAGACTAGGAGGCTACAGTAATGCTATAGATGAAAGACACTGTAGGTCTGGATTTAGACAATGGCAATACAGTTAAAGAGGAAAGAGATGTATCTCAAAAGAAACAAGCAAATATCAAAAACAAAGAAACAAACAGAGAAGAGCCAGAAATAAGCTGAAGAGAAGTCATGAGTAAAATGTTTTATGAATACTGCCTGCTACACTTAAGGTGTGGCCTAAACTGTAAAACAAATAAAACTATCCTTTGGGAATTTACAGTTTGGAGAGTGGAGAGATACATAAACAAAAAGGCAATTAAGTAGTGATTCAAGCAAGTTTAGTAAAGGTAAGAGTAGACCAAAACAGAGGAAATAGTTCTACTCATGATAACAGATGAGGGCAGCAGAAGATCAGAAAGGATTTCATTAAGAAGGAGACTACGTTACAAAAATATATATTCAGAGATAAGCAGCTATTCTATCTTAAAGACCAAAACAGAGGAAATAGTTCTACTCATGATAACAGATGAGGGCAGCAGCAGATCAGAAAGGATTTCATTAAGAAGGAGACTATGTTACAAAAATATATATTCAGAGAGAAGCAGCTATTCTATCTTAAAGGCTCAATTTGAAAAAGTTCAAGTATTTCTATATAACTGGAATCTTTAAAAAAGAAAAAAATTAGCCCTAACCGGTTTGGGTCAGTGGATAGAGCGTCGGCCTGCGGACTAAAAGGTCCCAGGTTCGATTCCGGTCAAGGGCATGGTCCGTGGGCACATCCCCAGTGGGGAGTGCGCAGGAGGCAGTTGATAGATGTTTCTCTCTCATCGATGTTTCTAACTCTATCCCTCTCCCTCCCTCCTTGTAAAAAATCAATAAAATATATTTTAAAAAAATTAGTCTCTGGAGTATGCTGAAAAGTAAATATGAGGTGAAGAACAAAATTAGAGCCAAATTTAAAGGTAGTTTTGACTATTTGTTCACTTGACACCTTGAACATTTTCTAACTCCGATAAAGAAACTAATGGATACATGAAGGTGGAAATCAGAAGAGGAAGGTCCATAGGGGAGGAAACTTTTTTCTGCCAATGGCCATTTAGATATTTATAACATCATTTGTAGGCCTTACAAAATTATCAACTTAAAAATTAGCCTGCATTTGATCAAACATTTAATTAACTCACAGCTAATGCCTTGGCAGGGCCAGACCAAATGACTTTATGGGCCTTATATGGTCCGCAGGCCCCAAGTTTCCTACCCCTGGTCTAATGGAAAGAGGATACTCTAGGTCAGTGGTTCTCAACCTGTGGGTAACAACCCCTTTGGCGGTCGAACAACCCTTTCACAGGGGTCACCTAAGACCATCCTGCATATCAGATATTTACATTACGATTCATAACAGTAGCAACATTACAGTTATGAAGTAGCAATGAAAATAATTTTATGGTTGGGTCACAACATGAGGAACTGTATTTAAAGGGCCAGAAGGTTGAGAACCATTGCTCTAGGTACACATAACAAATTAGATGATCTGATGAGCAGATTCTTAGAGTATGTTCCCTTCAATGTTAAGACTTTGAAAGAATAGAAGAAGGGAAGATGTTTAGATAAAGGAGTCATGACCGGAAAGCCAAATCTGGCTCACCAATGCTATTGTTTTTTTTTTTAATCCTCATCTGAGGATATGCTTTTACTGATTTTAGAGGGATAGGAGAAAGGAGAGGGGAAAGGAGAGGGGAAAAGAAATGGGGAGGAGGAGGAGAGAGAGAATCATGGATGTGGGGTTGACACCAATAGGTTTCCTCCGGTACATGTCCTGACCTGGTGCATGT